CCTAGTACGGATTGTCATGAATTTATTAGTGATAACTTTAATGAAGATTTATAATGAAAAGGAGCAAGCTGAGCAGGATAAATTACAAAATATAAAATTTGAGGAGAAAAGGAGCACCAGGAAGAGGAATGGAGCTAAGTCCTGAGTTTAAGGAGATAAACATGTTAAGAAATGGAATAAAGGGAGTGGTGACCTCAGGGCAAGATTCCACCCAGCTAAATTTCCAACTTGTGATAAGCAATTAAAGAAAAGATCAGAGCTGGGTCTGGTGGTGCATGCCTTTAATCCCAGCACTCAGAAGGCAAAAGCTGGTAGATCTCTGAGTTTGAGGTCAGACTGGTCTACAGAACAAGTTCCAAAACAGGCAAGCTTAGGCAGTGAAGGAAACCGTTGAAAACAGAAAGCTGCCGGGCAGTGGTGGCACACGCCTTTAATCCCAGCACTCAGAGCCAGGCGTATCTTTGTGAGTTTGAGGCCAGCCTGGGATACCAAGTGAGTTCCAGGAAAGGCACAAAGCTACACAGAGAAACCCTGTCTTGAAAAACCAAAAAAAAAAAAAAAAAAAAAAGAAAAGAAAACAGAAAGCTGATGAAGAGGCCAGGGAATGGGATGTGGTTTGAAAGAAAATGGCCCCCAAAGGGAGTGGCACTATTAAGAGTTGTAGCCTTGTTGGAGTAGGTGTGGTCTTGTTGGAGGAAGTATGTCACTGTGGAGGAAGGCTTTGAGGTCTCATATATGCTCAAGCCACACCCAGTGTCTCAGACTACTTCCTGTTGCTTGTGAGTTAAGATATGAGGACTCTCAGTTCCAGCACCTGTCTGCCAGCAGGTTGCCTTGCTTCCCACCATGATAATAATAGACTAAACCTCTGAGCTGTAAGTAAACCTCCCCAATTAAATATTTTCCTTCATAAGAGTTGCCGTGGTCATGGTGTCTCTTCACAGCAATAGAAACCCTAACTAAGACACTTGTAATGCCATCTTGCCGGGGACACTCAGCTTTAGTTAGTAAGTCAGGGGCCAGGTTTCTTTTATTGTGAGCCTCCACTATCTTCACATGGCTTCACAGTCATCTTGAAATATCTACTCACATATAGGATGCATGACAGAATACAGGGAAGGTCGACCACTTCTTATTTGCTTTAATCCCAGAATGAAACAGCACTTCCATATGCTTCCAGAAATGAGGCTAAGCACAAGGTCCCACATGGATGTGACAGAGAAAAAAATATTTGGCAGTTAAGGGTAGTAATACCTTAATAGTATACAAAGGCCAAGCAACATTATTCTGTTGAACAGATTTGCTAAGCAGTCTACCATTGAGCAGTACCTCTAGCCATTGAGAAAATCTTTCTCTGGATTCAGAAGACCTACTTTCAGGAAATACTCAGTATATTAAACAAACTCCATTCATGGAATGGAAATTTGATAATTTTATTGATCAAAATAAGTCACAAAATCTTCCCATGTTCAAGAGAAGGGGTAAGAAAATCTGGCTGTGAATTCAAGAAGCAGCAGAACCATCTTGCAAGGGAATGTGGACACAGGAAGGCATGATCCATGGAAGAACTTCTTTAATAATCTACTACAACCTCCTACCAGCAAGATCCCAGCAGCCCTGCCTGCCTCTTGTTCTTCTGTGTACACCCCTCATATATATATATATATATATATATATATAAAATTTTGGTTATATGTCATTCTGGCCCTGTAGTTCACTATAACTATGGACTACAAGACTTGAATAGAATGTAGGATTTTTCCCCAACTTAAATCTGATCTAATTGTAGCCCTCTAATAAGGTTTTTTCTCATTACTTTCATAGCACTGGGATTACATACATGGTCTGACCTACTTTTTATATGGGTGCTGGGGATTTGAACTCAGGTCTTTACACTTAAACATTAAGTATTGAGTCATCCCAAACACCCTAATTGTCGTGCTAGAAACCTCATCCAACTACTGAGGGATCTGGATGCAGAGATCCATGACTAGGCCCCGGGTGGATCTCTGGGAGTCCAATTAGCGAGAATGAGGAGGGTTTATATGAGCGAGAATTGTTGAGACCAAGGTTGGATAAAGCACAGGGACAAATAGCCAAATGAATGGAAACACATGAACTATGAACCAATGGCTGAGGGGTCCCCACTGGATCAGGCCCTCTGAATGGGTGAGACAGTTGATTGGCTTGATCTGTTTGGGAGGCATCCAGGGAGTGGGACCGGGTCCTGTGCTCATTGCATGAGTTGGCTGTTTGAAACCTGGGGCCTATGCAGGATCGCTTGGCTCGGCCTGGGAGGAGGGGACTGGACCTACCTGGACAGAGTCTACCAGGTTGACCTCAGTCTGTGGGGAAGGCTTTGCCCTGGAGGAGATGGGAATGGGGGGGGGGGGGCTGAGGGGAAGGTGAGGGGGACGGGAGGGGGGAGAACAAGGGAATCCGTGGCTGATATGTAGAACTGAATTGTATTGCAAAATAAAAAAAAAAGTATTGAGCCATCTCACCAATCTTTATGCTATATTTTTTTGAAAAAATGAAATATCAATATTTTTAAATGACCAAACACCATACAAAACAATGAAAAAGAAGCAAAGTGTTTGCTCAGCACTACAAAACCCCACACATCCCTCGGCCTCACTTTGGAGCTTGAACTGACTCGAAGATGTTGATGCAGGGAAATCTACAGCTGCTTCTGCTCTGTTCACACACCCAAAAACTCTTTTGAGGAAGAGTTTTATTTGGGAAGGAGGAGTCCAGGAGAGTAGCTGCCTCTACCAGGATGGAGAGAACAGTCTTCCTTTCTAACTGACTAGGCAGGGCGGTTTTCACAGGAAGTCTAGGGGGTGGAGTCAACCCCGGGCCCAGGGTTCTACTCTCCTGCTCTATGATTGGGTGGTTTCACAAATCAGTTGGACAGGGGCAGAGATGGCTCTGATCTGAGCTAAACTGTGTTTCTTTCACTGGCCTTATCTGAGCCATCCTTCCCTAATTCTGGGCTCCAGAGTCAAGGTGGGTTTCTTTAGCCAGCCCTTTTTCCCTACAAATTCTCTTTAGAAACTCTATATTACTAGCATATATCCCCTACATTTTAATAGTTTTATTGATATGCACCTGATAAAAATATATTGTGTATATATGTGTACAATTTGTTTTCACATATGTATATAGCCATGAAACCAGCTCTGTGCTCATGAAAACAGACGAATCTATCACTTTCCAAACTTTCTCCCTGCCCTCCTAAAAACTAATTAGTTAATTTTTAGAGCCAGTATCTCTCTATGTAGCCTAGCTTCTCCTTGAACTTGTAATCCACCTAACCCTGCTTCTTCAGTGCTGGGAAACATTGCCTGTGAACCTTTCAGGTGCTTTTCTCTCTAATTACATATTTTCCTTATGCATGTGTTTATCAGTGCTCTGCTGAATACTCAAGGAGAGGGGGCTTGAGTATTCAGTAGAGACCCTGATTGTTCTTTCTTTTCTCTGATCCGTGAACTCTAGCTGCCTTCTTTTCTCCAGATTCTTAGCTCCATTTCTTCAACATAAAGAATCATCTGGTCCTCCTGAATTCTCCTTCCCTGCACTGCTATCCTGACATTCTCTGTGCTGGTCGGTTTTTCTCAGCTTGACACAGAACTAGACATATCTGAGAAGAGGGGATCTTAATTGAGAAAATGCCTCCAAAAGCTTGGCCTGTACACAAGTCTGTAGGTGGTGCACGGTTGAATAAGAAAACAAACTGAGAAAGCTAGGAGGTGCAAACCAATAAGCAGCACTCCTTCATGGCTTCTGCTTCAGTTCCCACTTCTAGTTCCTGCCCTGGTTTCTCTGAATGATGGACTACACAAGCTGTAAGATGAAACAAAATCCTTTCCTCCCTCCGTTGTTTATGGTCATGCTGTTTACCACAGCAATAGATACCCTAACTAAGACAGTCGTGCAAAATTTTCTACTAGCAGTTGAGAGGCTGGGGAAAGGAGGACAGAAGAGAGGGAAAGAGGGAGGGAGGAGATTGAGATTCTAACTTTAAACTTTTAAATATTTATTTTATTTTTAAATTATGTGTGTGTATGTTTGTCTCTGTGTGAGTATGTGCACATGAGTGTGGGTGCCCACACAGGCCAAAGGTGTCAGATGCCCTGGAACTGGAGTTACAGATGGCTCACAGCCACCATGTGGGTACTAGGAACCAAACTCCTTTCCTCTGCAAAGACAGTGAGTGTTCTTAACTTTGAGCTATCTCTTCAGCCCCAATCTGAGATTCTTATATGCTGAAAAACTTTAATGAAGAATTTTGTACTTCAGATTATCTGTCAAGCAGCTATTCATGTAGGCTGTTTTCTAAGTATCCCAGTGCTGGAGATAAATTCTCTTATAACATTCCTGTGGTGAGCAAAGAGATTTAAGATATCTTTATCAGCTCTGATGAATTCTAGAATTGTATCTAGCATAATAATATTCTTTGGAGATAAAAAAAAGAAAAGAAAAAAACAGATGTAGATACATGTTTTCATAGACCATCTAAGCAGTGACCACTGGAATGGCAAAGAAAGTCAAGAGCCAGTGTTGAGCCTTTTAAAAACAGTTGCTATTTTAAGCTCAGTTCTGATTTAAATATTCCTGGTTCTGAATAAGCAGAGAACTTGGGGAAAGCTTGAGTCACCCTCTCACTCTTAACTTGACTGGCTTCATAAACTAGGACATATTTTAGCTTGGCCATTTTATGTGATCATGAAACCCAAATCTATTTGAAGAAGAGGTGATTTGAGTTGACCTTCAAGCAATGGAAAAGAAAACACAACACTTCCGGAGAACTTCCTCCCAGGAAGCTCTGCCTTAGACAGAGGACCTCCACTGGCATTTTCCTCATGAAATGTCTAAAACGTTGGCGATGACTCTTGTATTCATGATGAGTATGTGTTTGTGTGCCATTGCCGAATGAATTTGTTACTGCCAGCCAGTCCAGTCCAAAGCTCTTACCAAGTTCTTTCCTTCTTTCACAGAGATGGTCTGTCCACAATGAACAGAAGTTTCAGTGAAATGTGAGGAGGCACCTTGAAGCACCCTTCTTCCAGGCCATAAAATGTGGGCGGAAAAAATGAACTCTGTTTTCCTGAATGCTACTCAAGTTCCTTTGTCACACAACTCATAGCATGGTCATCTAATTTTTAGCAGAGACAAGATTTGGTGGGTTTTGTATCTTTCACAGAAGTAAATATCAAGAAATTTCTTGCTATAAGTTACCTGGGATGAAACACTGTGTTAACAATAATCTTTTATTTTTGTTTCATTTGAGACAGGGTTTCACTGCTTATTGTAGGCTGGCCTTCAATTTAGTATATAGCCTAGGCTAGCTATGAACTCACAACAATCTTACCTCAGCCTCCTAAGTGCTGTGATTATAGACATGAACCACCATGTTAGGCTGAATGGTTCCCAAATACATCATAAATTACACAAAATACTCAGAATTTGCAATCACACACTTTCAAAGCCTTCTTCATGTTTTTGGAAGCTGTCAGTGGAAATAAATTATGCAATATTAACTGCCTAGGAAACTCTGGGCTTGCAAACATAACCCTGAGAGTAAATAAGGTCTTACTCATCCCAGAATATTTGTAAGATATTTGATTACATAGAAGTTGATCTTTTTGGCAAATGGAATGTGTCCATGAGATGCTGATTTTCTGATTTTGGAGAGGCATGCTTGAAAACGTTGGTGGTTGAGAAACTACATGTTCCATATCTACATATGTCCAGTGTGAGGCTTCTATACTGAACCTTTTTGACCAAAGTGCACACAAATGCTCAATGAAATAAAATTCTCAAGACCTTAGAATCCAAAATTAATTCTGGAACCATGAGTCATCTTAAGGATGTGATAGGAAGAGTTCAGGAGAATGAGCATATAACCGGAAGATCTCACCCTAAACTTCTACTAATCCCTGAGTTTCTATCACAAACTATGACTGCTTCCCTCTCTTTGGGATCTAAGCAAAATGTAGGTGCTGCCACTAGCATGTGAGTTAATTGATCAGGTGCCTTCTTAGTAAATTTGGGGGCTATTACATAGAAAAAGATGTGGGGAGCACCAAATAAAGCTACTTTTACTTTTTCTTTTGACTTATGGGTCTATCTTTGTAGCCTTGATTGGCCCAGAACTCAACATATAGCCAAGGCTGGTCTCAAACTCATAATTTATCTGTCTTGGTGTCTCAAGTGATGGTATTCAGGCATATACCACTATGTCCTGTTTAAAACTACCTTCTCTTTTTGTCTTTATTATTATTATTTTGGGCAAGGTCTCATATAGCCCAACCTGACCTTGAACTCAACTTAGGAAACGACAGGTCTTCATGTCTATAACTGTAATACTGGTATAACCCTGAAGGGATTTTCCCATTAAAATCAGTAAGGCTTAGATCCCAGGGGTCAGAAGTGACTATAATGTAACCATGGCCTCCATTATTGCAGGTTTGGGGACACTGGAAATAAGCACTGGGAAGGTATATCATACTCATAGAAGGGGTGGCAATTTGGCAGGGTGGATATGATTGTTGCACTTCCATTTTCTGGATAAAGACCAGAGAGAAAGAATAAGAAGCGATAATATTTGAGTACATATGAAACATCCCATGATGCTTTGGAAATAAATGGTTACTTTGGGCAGCTGAGGCAAATGTTATTCAGGGCTGTTATTCCCATAGAGTGACCACATTATTATTTAAATAATGAGCTGGTAGGGTTGGACAAGACTGAGTTATAGCTCATTAATTTGAGACATGAAGCATCTATCATGTACTACATGTGCCAGACACTTCAAGTCTCTGGGGAGCCAAAGACAAGGCCCAGTTCCTGCCTTCCGAGGACTTACATATGGCTACTTCTTATCTGCAAGAGGTTTGACCTGTATATTTCTTCAACTTTTGTGACAAGCCTGCTAGCAATGACCATACAGATTGTGTTTTATACAGAGATTATTATATGGTTGGCAAGACCTGCAATTGTGCACAATACAACCTAGACCTTGTCTGGTCAAATACAGTTCACCTAAAATATTTTCTGCTTCAACTCTATCTTCCAACTCCTTCCAGATGCATCTCTGCTCTAATCACCTCTTTGCTGCTTATCTTTGCTTGGCCACCCCGCCCCCAGGGCGTTCTTTCTTCTGCCCTCCTTTGGCATACTCGGTCTGAAAATCAAACAAGGGTGCCTCGGCCTTCTCCTCTTTAGTGTTTTCTCTTACTATTTGTTTAGCTCAGCATTCTCATTTGACTTATGTCTCTCCATGGTTTTCAGTGGGAAGTGTAGGAGCTGTGTTGATGTCATCTTTTTATGTCTCCCCAAAGGACTCTTTACATAATTGGAATGCAGCAGGACAAAAGAAGAAAGTGCTGTATAAAACAAGAGTGAGAGGCGCCAGTTGAAATGGAGTGTTTGTGACAAAAATTTTCAGTCAATACATTTTTCAAATTCTTTTAGTTGTTGACTCTCAAATATTTATGCTAATGACAGTAAGGAAAAGTACAGATATTGGAAATATACCAAACTCAAACTCAAGACTACTTCTAGCCAACTAATTCTTCTTGTCAAAACTTCTGCAAGAGTGTCTGACAAAAAGAGGATTATGTCCAGTTGACCCCTTGCTATTCTCCTTTGTGGAGACAAATTCATTCATTTTCGGGATTTGATCATTCTTTCAGAAGCCCCAAATACAGTGGTGCAAGGTAGTGAGGAATCAGGGAAGATGGAGAAGGAGAGAGAAGGAGCAAAAGCATCTGAAAATGAACGGAAACCTATAAACAGTCACTAGCATAAAAATGTATGTTAAGAAACTTTAGATCAGCCAAACTGATATCCAATTAGTTGATTAATTCTTATAAACAACAGCAAGTTTTTCCACAAAGAAGGGACAAGGGGGAATAGAAGGAGGAAAGAGATGCAAGATGGAGGAGAGAAAATAAAAGAAAGCAAGAAAGAGAAGTGAGCAAGAGGAGAGGATGGGAGAGAGAGGGAGAGAGAGAGAGACAGAGAGACAGAGAGAGACAGAGAGAGAGACAGAGAGAGAGAGAAAGGGAGGGAAAGAGAGAAGAGCAAAGGGACTCTCTAAACAGATCATTATTTGACTTCTTGGTATTTGATTGAAGTTCACTATGCTTTCATTGACACAGGAGTCTCTAACACACGGAAACTGACTAAGGGAAGGCCTCTCTGGGTAATTTAAACTTACTTTCTCATTCATAACCCCAACCACAAGGTTAAATTAGCACTCTGGTTTTGTTTTTTTAATTCATAAGTAAGAAATGCATTGAAAACCATTTCTGTAGCCAGAATGAGTGCTATTCACTCCATATCTCCTTTCTGATAAATTATACACCCTAAACCAGGTAGTTGACTAAGTCCTTAGTCACAAAATACAAGGTTTTCATCTGAAGCCAGTCTTTTCTCCTCTGAGTTGGCCAGGCTGCCCCATCTGCTTTGAGACACAGCAGCCTTCTGAGTAAATTAGAAACCCAACCTCAGGAATGACCAACTCAGAGAAAACCCCCAGCATCCTGTGCAATCTGACTACATCCTCACACAAGGACATTTAGGAGAGAAAATGCAAATTATTTGACATAGACTAAGAAATGTCAGACTCTGTGGTCTGATACTAGTTTGTCTGGGAAGGCCTTAATGTTACCCACCCTTGGTTCTGGCCACACAACAAGTGTTTCCTCATTAGCTACCATCCATGTGAACAGCTGCCTCCATTGCATGCATTTCTCATGATGTTGTACTGAAATTTCTCTGAAACTGTGAGCCAAACTAAGCACCCTCTCCTGTAAGTTCTTTCTGCCAGATATTTTGGTCACAGTGAAATAAAAGCACCCAAAACAGACTCTAAATGAGAAGACTTGGAAATCTGAGAAAGCAGTTTGATTTCTATGGGTGCTATTTCCACATGATGGTTAATCTAACTGATCCTTCTATCCTTATTTCCACATGTTTTTCCCTTTCTTCCATTTTCTTCCTTTTCCTTTTTGTCTACTGCACAGCATGGCTTTGTTCTAAGCAATTAGAATATAATTGTAAATGAAAGAAATAAGGTCTTCATCTCATGTAGCTTACATTCTAGTAGAGAAGACACAAGTAAATTTAAAATATGTATCATAATTAATTTTTACTTTGCACTGTTCTGCTACACATGAATTTTCATGACCACAATTTTATTCACTCCAGGCCACCCAACAGCATAGTTCAAATTTTAGTCACCACTATATAGTAATTGTAAGTAATTTCTTGAAGGACAAAGACCCACCACTGGCTCTCCAGTCCAAAAATGTAAATGAGAAGTGCATGATAACTGACCAGTCATATCATATCCTTTGGAGTCAGTCACTGATTGGTCACTGTGCATGTTTTATGGCTCATAGAAGCAGCAAAGTTTGTGTTTCTTATCTCCACATGGGAGAGAGATGCTATAGGCAAAATAATTTAACATTTAAATCACTACTACCAATGTTCCATGCCACTCTGATTGTCCTAATTGGAAATGTGAAAATTTGCTATTTACCACCAATACTGTATTCAGCTGCCTAGTAGGTCATGAATTTATTCTACTGTTAAAGATAATTAGGTGGACTTTCAGACATGGTATCTACTGGGGATCAGGTTATTTCTTTAGCTGAATTTTGAAATAGGACATGAGGCAAGTCATTCAACATATCCAAGTTACATGGCAAGAAGTAACAGCAAGTAGTTTGTATATAGTGTGACACAGACTCTTAAGTTTCTTCATTTTTTTTAACACTTTTGCTTTTTGGAATCTTTCTGTCTCTGCCTCCTAAATGCTGAGATTATAACTATACAACGTGAAACTTCACACTTTGCATGTTTCTAATTGAAGACAAATGAAACTGTGGAAGAAATGACTCTCCATGGGCATATGGACTCACTCCATCTATGAAGCTACACTTACGCTGATTCCAAGCCAAACAAATATGCAACAAAGAAAGAGAACTACAGACTGATCTCCCTTATGAACATTGATGCAAAAATACTCAACAAAATACTGGCAAACAAACTCCAAGAACACATCAAAACAATTATCCACCATGATCAAGTAGGCTTCATCCCAGGGATGCAAGAGTGGTTCAACATATGGAAGTCCGTCAATGTAGTACACCATATAAACAAACTGAAAG